GGCGTGGGGGAAATCCTGGGAGTTGAAGTCCACACATCTTAAAGTTGCCAAGGTTGAGAAACACTGATCTGGTAGATTTGCCTGGCCTCACTCGCTTATCCCTGAGGTGGGCATACAGCTGACAAATACATTTTAAAAGCCCTTAGAGCAACTTTTGACTCATAAAGCCATGTCATGCAACTGACACAAATTATGTAATGTGCATGTCGTCATGCAAATGAGGTAAATGATGTAATTTGTGTCAGTTGCATGATGTGACTGATACTAAGTATATAATTTGCTTCAGTTGCAAGATGATGGAATGCAAATGATATCTCTGGCTCCCCTTTACAGAACTTAGGTGTGTGGTAGAAGCCCCAGTGATATCCCACACATTCTTATGTTATTGTGGAAATGTTGAGGATGTTGTCATTCATTAATGCATGATGTAATTCATAATTAAGTTGCAACTGATGGAAATTCCATAATTCACATTCTTTGCACAATGATATCCTGATGCATGTGACCTACTTCCCTTCCTGCAGATGCCCGTGAAGGGGAGAGACCCCTTTGGCTGACATACTTTTCTTTAGATTTCTGGCCTGAGCAGGGATTTGAACATTAAATGGCCCCTTCCAACTATTCCAGAAGATAATGAGAATTGTTTTTGTTAAAAGTGTTAGCTATCATGGAATAACATAAGGATGTCATGTTGAGGGAAGAGTTAATGCTTCAAGATATCACAAATCAGTATTTATGTTCAAATGAATCTTATCAAAAGTTCCATTACTTTTTGTTTTTAAGAGGAAGCTCTTCCGTTTTATGCTGATTCAATGTTTCTCAACCTTAGCAACCTGAAGATGGGTGGACTTCAATTCCCAGAATTCCCCAGCCAGCATGAAATTCTGTAAAATATCAGTTCCTTTGTAGCCTTTATATTCAATACAGTCATTTGGTTCTGTGAAGTTCCCATATCTTAAGAACTTGAGAAAAGGCTACTGAATCAAGCCAAAGGCCCACGTCTCCTAGCCGTGTGTATTACACAGTGCTCAGCCAGGGGAAAGCTTAGCCACAGGATGAACGGAACGCTGCTGTGGTTTGAGAGATGAGCTACAACCATCAATACTAGCAGCCCTTTATAACCTGATCCTCCATCAATTTGTCTAGTTCCACTTTAAAAGCATCTACATTGTTAATTATCACCTTATCTAATGGTAGGGAATTCCATTCTTTAGCTAAGCACTGTCTATACTACTAAAATGACAGGAATTTGAACTGTTTTTTTAAACAAATGTATTAGTTGCTAATGTGGGCCACTTTATTTCAGAATAATTTCATTTAGCTATTTGTTGTTTTTGTTTCAGCAAAAGTAGCTGTTGATGGGGGTTTCCAAAAACTTGAACTTCTGTGCCTCTCAGCCAACCATAACATTACAGAAGAGACTTGGAGAAATTTCTTTCAAACATTGTCCAACATGCCAGACTTACAAACAATGGACTTCAATCGCCTTTTCACGCATCAAATCAAATGCCAAGCAACAACTGTGAAGTCTTTTGTACAATGTGTCTCTCGACTGCCCAACCTCAGGACAATCGCCATGCAAGGCTGGTTGTTTGATGAGAAGGACCTCACCATGTTTGAGATTATGAAAGAACAACATCCCCAGTCAAAGAATTTAAGCTTAACTTGGAAATATATATTGCCATTTGCACCTATTGTTAATGAATAGAGAAGAAGAATCTAATTCACTGTACAGTATTAACATTAGTTAATATACTTTACACATGTTCTATCACATTAGGTATTTAGTACTGGATTCTCACAATTTATTGATTCATTTTAAAGATTATTCATATGTCATCATCATGGAATAATTCTCTCTTTCTCCCAGCCACATGCCCCATTTTTCTGAAAGTACTTCCACATGAGTTTTGGTACCACTTCCAGATTGGTGCCACATCCCTCTGGTTCCATGACATAGTTAGCACTGGCAGCTGAGACAATTTACTTATAGTTCAGCTGTAGCTCAACATGTCTTGCAATACTTCCATTCTGCACATTGCTGAAACTTGGGGGCAGGCCAATTCTTCCATTGGTGGGAAAGCTGACGTAGTGCCATTTTGTCCTTGTACTGGGCTTCTGTAAAGCAGAAGGATAATTTGTGTTAATTATGTAGTGAGGGAGGAAGAGGGTTTTTGACTTTCAAAATATTTAATCATTGCTAAAATGCTTTTCTGCCTACGTATATGTAAAAATCTTGCATGTTTAAAAATTGTAATATTAAATAATAATAAAAAATAACCTGCCTTTCAGTTCACTGTTATTTTAGAAACATTTCCTACCTATGTTTTTTAAGAGAGGATGACCACCTGGATTATCTGAACTTGCTGCTGGATGCAATGTGAACATTCTAAGAGCTGCATCTCTTGTATCAGTGCATGAATGTTTCCTGTTGAGTAAGCAGAGACCACAGGAGAAATATAAGACAACCAGTTCCCAAAGGAGAGCCATCAGAAGTTTGGAAGAGGAATTTATGGGGTAATCCTTAGCAAATTTTCCCC